CATATAATTATGATATTTTTATAATTCTTGATATAAAAAAAACTAATAACTGAGATCATACAATGACTATATAAGAAAAAAAATTAAAAATTCATCTAAAATTCTCAAATAAAAATATATATGGGTAGATCTAATTGTATCGATAAACGAACCATAACATGAGATCAAACTACTAAAAAACCATCAACAATAAAAGATCAAAGTCAAACGTCGTGAGAAAATTATTTCTGAACACAAACTATGTATCTAATTCTATTCTGAAAGTCTAAAGCATAAAAAAAATCAACATAATACCATATTAATATATATACTCTACTTGGATCGAGTCAAATAGTGTAGGTTTTCCCATTCCTCGGTCATCAATTTATTCCTTTTCCTTTTTTCTAAAGAAAAAGTTAAATCAACAAAAACCCAAGAAAAAGTGATAAAATAGAAGATAAATAACATTTTATCATCAATGTTAGTCTATCAATTTTTTAATAATAAATAATAATTATAAGATATTATTTATTTAATTGGTTAACAACTATATTCTGCATATATTTATATATATAACAGTTAAAATCTGAAATGTAAGCAATTTTTTAAATAAGAAAGCAAGTCAACTTTAAAGCAGTTACCTCAAATCAACAAACAATCTAATATGTTTTTCATTTTATTTGTAGTAGGAAATTAGTTATATATTTGGTGGCAGGCTGGCAGCGTTGGCTAATATATTTTTGTAACAGAGTTTGTTCACTTGCCTTAGGATCAAATATAATCTAATGTAACTATAATTATTATAATAAAATTCTCTTTTAAATTTGATAAATGTGTAATTTAATTCAAAGAAAATTATTTAAATACATAGAAAGAAAAGGACATGCCTAATTTTATTATTTGAGGTTATGGGTTCGAATATCGCATATACAGGGATATGAGAGTTCTTTGTCAAAGGTTAAGAGTCTTTGAACAAATATTATCTCATATTTATTTTAAAAAATAGAATTTTAAGGTTTAGTGCAAAGCATTTCAAATTTTAAGATTTAAAATTAAAACAAGTTTATATACTCTTTCATAAAATCTCTAATAATTTTCTTTCTAAGACTCTGATAGCTGCTTAATTTTTCTTCATCTTTGGTTGATAGACAACGACACCAGTCTTAGCTTTGGTTGTCGTCACCGATATTTCTTATTTTCTCTTTATTTGTATATATCACATCTCTGATCTTCCTTTGCTTTTTTTAGTTTTTAATTCCTCTGCATTTATGGCATGTTTTTTTCTGCTTTTTGATACGTTTTCAATCGTTTTGTCGTTTATCCTTTTTATTAGAGTTGGATTTGACATCGTCACAACTGATCGAAATGGCGCTTATTTGTTATATTCCCTGCTTTGGACACTCATATTGAATTTGCATATGTGATTTACGTTTGTGGATAGTTTTCTCACGTCGTCCGACTTTAATTGGCGGTTTGTCAGTAGTCTTTCAGTAGCTTGATTCACTTTTGTAGTTTGTTTACCGATGTAATCAGATATGTTCGTATATACCTCTCATTCGAGTTTATTTGGGTATGTTTTTTAACTTGTTCCTTGTACAGTCATTGTGTGATCTTAAGTGACTAGTTTCTTATATTAATAATTATAGAAATATTTCCTATTATATATGTAGTTTACGGTTATAATTGTAAATCTACATTGTAATTTTGAATATATATTTGTTATTTTAATAAAACTACTGAATTCTATAAAATAAAATTAAAATAAATTTTGCACTATCTATATATCAAATAATATCCTTTAATTGAATTACATTTTTGTCAAAATTTAAATAGTAAAACGTAAATATGCCATCAAAGAACCTTTTACTGTTTTATAACATTTCTTCTTCTTTTTTTACATATTCTTTTTGGTAAAAAAAAAACAAAATAATCTTCAGATACTTGTATAACAACACTCTTGGCTCTCTTTTTATTCGATAGTATGAGATTATTATAAGATAGTATTTGTGTATAATTTTTTAACCATTAATAATACGTGCACACTCTATGGACATAGTTGCTCGAACTCAAAACCTCTAAAGTGAATAACACTTTTTTTAACCACTAAGACCACTTGATGAGTTCACTTGTGACTCTAAGTTACCTATTGAGCCTGATTGAATAATTCAAATTCCATTGGCATCTAAGTGAACTTTTAATTAATTTTATAGTAATCGAAAACATTGAATTTGATCTCTTGAGAGCGATGGTTACCTTAGCAGGGGGGGAAAGAAATACTTGTGTTGCCTAAGTTGTTTCCAATTTCTGGTGATTAAGCTGTTGGAACATCTTGCTTTTTCCATCTTTAAAAACCTAATTAATCACATCAATTTCAGCTGATTACTGTGTTCATTGCATTTAGAATAAAAATTAAGTAAATATGCACTTTGAATTGGTAAACCGTTTAACCAATTTATTTATGTTATCATATAATCACATGTTGATTTGAATTTTTTATTTAATTACATATTTTTTACATAGATCTTTTGGGCTAATCTACTATGGGAGAAAGATTGATTTCTTTTGAATAGTTTAGGATGATTATAAGGTAGTATTTATTAAGAATTTTCTTAATCAAACGATAACACACGTGCTCAAACCCAAACCTTTAGGAAGAACAACATTTCCTTTTACTTTACCACAAAGATCACTTGATGGATTTCATAATCTAATCCACGATATATCCAACACAATCATCTTATTCTAAGGAAGTAGGAACATGAAATTCAATCACTAAATTTGAATTCCAATAAGGCTCTTGTGTGGATTAGATTGGGGCAGGTGCCTTCGGAACTTTTTTCTTATAAAGGCACTAGTTATATTGTTAGTGTAATATTTGCAATGAGATTGCTTGTAACACCCCCCGAATTCTCGAACTGAATTTTTCTGAGTCCGATAATAGAATGGGGCACATGCACAATTGAAAGTTCAAAGTTTGTGGCACATTGCAAGGCTTTAGCTCTTCATTCTGCACTGTGGGTTAAAATACAATGGCTAAGGAAGCTGAGCAAATGCTAGCGTGATCAGCAATGTTGCACCAAGAGTGGGATATGTTCTACTTTACCAATGAAATCACCTATAATTCCCCTCTCCAAACCATATATCAATTAACAAATATGAGATTTTCATCTCAATATATAGTAGTAGTACCCAATAAAATTGCTGTCCAATGTCCATTTGGGGATAACACAGACAAGGACATATACAAACTTCGTAAGCATCAACTATATATTAACACTTCTTTTTAATAGTCTGGGATGGTTACAAGCTAGTATTTGTTCAGAATTTTTCTTAGTCGATTTTTATGTCAGGGAGACTATAAGGATGAGCTTGCCGCTGCTCATAAACACTGTGCTGAGGCCTGGCTTAAGATCAGAGGAAATAAGTAAATAAAACAAGTCTAACATTTTTAGTGAAAACTATCTTTTCATGGAACTTTTGAGTGATTGCATAGACTTGGGACTACTGTTTCTTGATAATGTTTTTACTGATAGTTTCCTGATTCAGTCTGCTTAATTGTTATAAGACTTGCGAGATTTGTCACTCTATCGCATGCAATGTAGTTGGTGTGAACGAGATTGAGTCAACAGATCAACAAGCTGAGGAGGATCAGCGTCTGGTCCCGCCATCAATGAACTACACAAGACGGACAATATCTTTTGAGTCTATCCTCTTGCTCTTTTAAACCAGCAAAAGTTTTCCCTGTATGGCTCTTTAGTGCTCAAGTTGTGGACTTGAAAAGGGTGCACGTTAATGTGGCAAACCAACCTAGTTCAAAATTGTATACAGCTTTCTTTTCATCGGACAAATGCTAGCCTAGTGCTTCACCTAATGTTTTCCGGGAACAAAATACCAGGCCTTTATCATGTCTTTCTTATTATGTTGATTTGAGATACAAATCTTTCTTAATATGTTGATTTGAGATACAAGGTTTATAAGCAACAATTATCAGTTCACATAAATATTAAATACGGTGGTTGCTGAGGGGGGGAAAACAGAATGGATATCAGGTTACAGGTACAACTTGCTAACTCTAGAATAAAACGGAGGCATAGGATCAATGCATAGTCCCGATAAATCAGGTACGATAAGCACAACAAACCCTGTTTCGGTTTAAGCACGTTTCGTCACTCTCATTCAACAAGGGGAAAAGGATAAAATCATCAAATGAGTCCACATGGATGAACCAAAGGGGCTAGTAGGAACGGTTAATCCCTAAAAATTTCAAAATCTCATATAATTTACAAATTTTCTTTATATTTTTTTATTGACGATCTGTTTTCACCCCTAAACTTTTATAAGTTTATCTCCTAAAATTTTATAATTTTATCAACTAATATAAAATCTTACGTCCGTCACTTCAAGTCCATGTCTCGTAAGTATTGGCATAAGAATAAGCACCCACTTTGGGTTCCAGATGAAGTGATGGTCAGTCAAACATGCAACGATGATAAAATTCCAGCTTCTTCTCCAAGCTCTCAAGCCTCGGCCCTTTCAATCGGACAATTACTCAACCGAGAATGTCCGAAAGAACCATGGTTATGTTTGCATTTGTGCTACTCGACAAGGCCAAGTTGCTCCATTGTTGGATTCAAGAAAAGATAACGTGCAGCATTTAAACATTGTATGAAAGATGCAGCAGCCTGGATTATTTAGATGATTGAAGGCAAAAGCTTTTTGCCGCACATTATTGTGCCACTCAAACGTATTTAAAAGAAAGAGGGTTAAATGGAACATTTAGACAATACGTGACAGCTTACACCATCATCACATGCACCAGAAAAGAAACGGAATGTCATGAGCCCTTTCAGTTTAGGTGCAGGAATCAGAGGTTCTTTAATGGCAAAACATATCAAGGGGCCCACATTGCTACCCCTTTACCTTTCACCACATTTTCATTGTCATCCTCGGCTTTTGGTTAGAGTTTCAGTTGAGTCCCCACGTGCAATGCCATGAGATGAAACACAGATGCAGAAACACTTAAAAAAGTAGTTTATCTCAATAGCCTTCGGCATTGAGAGAACAATTACATTTTAAGCATTCGACGTTGTTGAGAGAAAAAAACCAGTATTCCAACAACTATCAACATAAGAAAGAGAATGGCAGTGGCAATAGGAACTTGGAAAATTCCATGATATATTTAGATGCTGATGATGTTGGCTGATGACTTTAACCAAGACACGGGAGGACAGCACAATGTACAAGTGCACTACTCAAATTTCTGTTTTCCTTAAGAATACAAATCAAATTACCAGTACTCGAAAGCACTAAGCCTTTCATCTGAGATTAAAAGGAATCAAGCCGGCACAGTTACGATGGTAAAAGCAGCTTCCATCATCTATGCACCATTCATTGCAGTATCGACGTGGATTCCATTTGCATCTTCCAGAACCTTGCCATTAACTTGAGTTCTCGGTCTCTAAACAAAATAGTAGAAAAACATAAATGCCAATAACATTCGGATATCACCGTGAAAAATTCAGAAAGGAAAATATAAAATTACTATACCCAATCTGCGGGGTCTACGGAATTCCCATTCAAGAGCTTCTGGTTCTCTTCTTTGGTCTTACTCTCCTTGTCTTTAGTGCTTAATGGTAGCAATATTGGTAAATTTCCACTGGTTCTATCAGGCAATTCTGCAGTTATATCTTGGTGTTAAAACTACTGGTAAAGTTATGCCCCTAGCAGAGGAAGATTTTAGATTATACCAAATGAGATAAGATCAAAAATCAAAGCATTCTAATTTCTAACCTGGCAGTTTCTTGTCTATGAAGAATACCACTAAATTAACAGTATACCTGTGCAGAGGTCATACTAAAATCAAAATGAATTGAAGAAAAAAATATGTATATGTAACTGACATTTCAAAAGGTTACTTCATACCATGCAACAACAACATCAACTGTGTAATGTTTGCGGGATGCCACAATCAAGAGACTTTGAACAACAGCAACCAACCAAGCTAACTGCTTCATACACCTGCACAATCAAAACAATACAATCAACAACCAAATAATTGTCAACTCATATGTATGTCAACAGAACAAGCTAGAATTCTTAGCCCCATTGACTATATACAAAAAAACTAATCAAACAAGCTTATGGTACAGCCTGGTCTAACATTTTGCTACTGTGAATCACAAGTATTACAAGAATAGTACCCTGACATAATAATCTCAGGATTTTCCGACTAGTGTTATTTCACTTATTTCCCCATTACAATCGTAGCTAATGCCTAAAAATAAGTTAATTGAATAAGCCATGCATGCAATTTACCTTTGTGTGCCATATTTCTGATAGGTGAGCACAAAGACCAGGGTGAAGATCATGTGCGATGAAAAGATCAAGTCACCACAACCATATATTACACCTCGAGGAACTGAAAAATCAACTAGCAAATGAGCCAAATTTGTTATCAAAACACCTAACCATATATCTAATGGAAATAAGTTGAAATTTTGAATGCAATAAGAATACATACAATTAATTATGAGCACTTCAAGCACACTGTCCGGTTTCGGCAACCTGGCAAGCTTTGAACCCTGCAGTGAGAAGAGGTCATTATTAAAATGTTCTAAACCCAAAGAACAACAAGAATGCCTAATAATAATAATAATCCCATTTCATAGTGTAATCATAAAGTCAAGAGCAAGTACATAGTTCAAGACTATACCTCTCGGCAATGATAATTTGGACCAGGTAACTGAGTAGAATAGAATGTAATGATTCGGAGAAACTGAGAAGCCTGCGTCACATGAATAAACAAAGAAAACAAAAAGACTGAGGAATGGCTTAATGTTTCATGATTTATCAAGATTCATCATGTTTATAAAGTTAGTTGAACAATTTCAGCAGTGAGTTCAGTTTGACTGAGCAGGTTGTTGATGAAAATGGTACTTCAAATTGATGTAACACATTAGATTAAAAAGTTTTAACCAGGCACAGAACAAGGGCAACCATATTAATATTCAATAGGAGAAAATAATGATTCTTAATAATCACAGTGATGAACATAGACATACTTTTAAAGAAGGAAGAACCTACAAAAAAACCAGTCCTACAACAAAGTCATACGTTGGGTATACTTACAACTAAAAATGCTAGCACCCTGCACCAAACTAGAACTGTGTAGATCTTTTTGCTCTTGAAGACGAAAGGATGGAAAGTCCACTGAAAATAGAGAAACTCACATATTAGAAGTGGAGAGATAAAAGTTTTAATAAAACAGAAATAAAAGAATTGCATTACTGTGTAATGAAAATGTGAGAACTGAGCAAAACTAAGGAAATCAATTAAATAACGAAGAAAAAACCAACAACATAAGAATAACTTTACCAATAAAAATGATAAAAAGATGCAGCTGAACAATGTCTCGCTGATATAGCCTTTATCTTGCCCAAGCTCCTAAATTTACACGAAAATTATATATAACAAGAAATTTCACCAAATAATTGGCAAGAAACAGAGATAAACAGGAAAATCAAAAGAAAGGTGTTCTTACTGGAAGAAGAAAGAAACCAAGATCCTGAAGTGTTGGCCCTGGCCGGTGTAAATAATGAACTCCTCGGGCAGCTAGACCATGAATATACTGCAGAGACAAAACCAGATTTTAGACCCACAGCCTTCTTAGTGTTCTTAACTAAGCATACTTGAAGTTTGGAGTTTGGACAATACAAACACTAAACAAGCTCACACAAAACTCTTTGACAAGCATTGAAATGTAGCATAACAAAGCTTAAACAATTGACAATGACATCCATTTAGGTAAAAAAAATTATCATCGGTGATGCAATGTTATCTGCATGAACAAATTACAGTGTACAATATCTTACTTTTAAGAAAAATCAAAACAGGCATCTTTGATCTTAAGAAAGATGCTAGCTTTGCCACTCCACATTTACTACTTAAAATGCTAAAAGTGTTCGAGAAATAAATGATATTTTGAAATTATTTAAACAATAGATCGAAAAACCAAATGGGTTTAATCCGAAACAGAATAAAACCTGAAAAACTAGGCCGGCAAGAAGGTATTTCCAATTGTCAAGAAGAAGGTTGATCTCTGTAGTTGTTTCTGAACAAATTCTCTTCCACAACTACAAAGAAAAACGAATCAAAAATCAAATAAAAATCCCTTGTAATTCCCATTTCTAGAACACACAGAAGATGGGGGGAAGAAACCTTTGAAGCTTCGCGACCAATGTAAAGTGTCATCTTGTTCTCATGTAACAAACAGTTCCATATTACTTCAAAGCCCATCGGTTAAGGTCAACATCTCTAAAATTAAAAAAAAAACCCGCTCAAATCTTATGAAAAATCCCCCTTTTTACCAACACCTTAACCTTCCCAAAAATATAAATAATAAAGTTAACAAATTTTATCCATGTTTCTCTCTTTCTTTCCCCCAATAACCAACTTGAAATCCACCACAACTGTAAACCCCCCGCCGCCGCCGTCACAGCTGCTTAATCGATTCTTCGAGCGATCAAATACTGGCGATCCACGCTCAGCCTCGGGGTACAAGGCAAAAAAAATGTAATAAGAGAAAGGGGATGAAACTAAAGACTTCTTCGGCTTCGATATAAATGAACACAGAGTTCAGAATTGTGAACAATGGAGACGATGAGAAATTTATTTTAAAGACTTGATTAAAGAAACTTGGCCGGAACTAATATTATTATTTTTATAATAAAGTACATGAATAGTCCCGATTATGATTATAGAAAATTTATTTGTTGAGTTTCTCAATTATACGAGTTATTCTTTATCGATTATTAAAAATGACAAAATAGTCACTATTTATTCATTACCTTTTAAATTTATATTTTTTTTGTTAAAATATAATAATTGTCTGAGTTAGACGTTAATATGTTACCTGAGTTAGGGCTGTAAAAAGTTGACCGACCTGCAAAACTGACTGAAACCGACCCGAGTCAAAACTGTTTTTGACCTGCACTGTGACGATCCAAAATCGACTCGAGTCGGAACTGGTGTTGACCTGAACCCGATTTAGACCTGGAAATTATGGATCTGAACCCGACCTGCATCCGATCTGAGAACGACCTGAACTCGAATTGAACCGAAAATATGATACCCGAACCCGAACTACATCCGACTGATATGAACCCGAACCCGAGATTGACCTGGTAAATAACTGGTATTACCCGACCTGTTTCAACCTGACCTGTTATGAACTTGACATGTTTTTAACCTGACCTGTAAATGATCTGACTTGTTAAAGATCTAATCTGATATTTACCTGACTTATATAAACCATAGACAAAATTATAAGATTTTAATAAAATTATAAGATTTTTAGCTTATGATGTAATTAAAATATTAATATGATTACTTTTTAAATGTTATAATAAAAATATTTATTATGATAATTATATTAATAAATAGACCTATTATATAAAATTATTTAATAAAATTAATAAAATTATTTAAATGTAAATTAGATAAAACATTATTAATAATACAAAGAAAAATTAATATAGTTTAATTTATATAAATTATATAGTTTAATTTATATAAAAAAAATAATATTATATAAAATAACTTGAGCCTCTAAATTAAGAAAATAAAGTAAAAAACTATAAGGAAAAGGTCCACAACCCATAACCTAACTTCAATAATGTGAATGAAATTGGGAGACTAAATGACTAACCCAAGTTCATTTTGATTCTAGCTTATCTTGTAAGAGAGAAAACTGTAAGGAACAAGAAATTGAAAACGAAGAAAAGTGAAAGATTTAAAGGATGATTTATAGTTGGAGAAGTGATGAAAAACAAATAGTACACACCTTTTAATGTCCACTTTCTATACTACCACATGTGATACTGTAAAAAAAGTAAATGACAAGAATTTTTGGTGTAAAACTTTCATAATATTAGAATTAGATCAAAGAATTCTCACAGTTCTACCAATTCCTATATATACAAACACATATAACACGGAATCTATCAGTTTTATCCACAAGAAAAGACCTCACAAATTGATGGTGTAACCTAATCGACAGCGAGGTATCAATTAAAAGTTCACATGTGTCCTTCATAGGGTCATGACACTTTACAAGTGAACTTACGAAGAAATCCTGTAAATCTGGAATGATGCGATGAATCAAACAGCTACGCCTGCATGTTCACAGCATCAAACGGCTTAGAAACATCAACTTTTCGACAATCAAAGTACAGTTTTGGGAATCACATACCAAGGTTTGGCACTTATTCTTTCAAATTGCTTCTTTCAAATTGCTTCTTTCAAATTGCTCTAACATGAAGAGTAGGCAAGCTTCACGTAGTGTGGTAGCATTGAAGGCCTCGACTAGTTCATACATCAGCATAACGTTCTCCTCATAAATATCCTTTAAAAACGGATAATTAGAACAGATAATCATGTAAATCCGTAATATGATCAGTAGAAGAAATATCACAGTAAAACATACACACCTGAGCAATGGTGTATTCGCAAAGACGCTTAAGATTGTCAAGAAGATACTGATCAGCAGCTCTAAGAAGTTCTTGAGCAAGATCGATTTCAACGGTCACTGTTCCAGTGTATATATACCTGGCAGCATAATACCATAACAGCAAACAAGTGAGGACTTTCCAACACAATTTTACTATACATTTACAAGTGAGCATTCAAATATATACCTCATCATTAGGACAAAAACATCTCATCTGATATTTGGAATCTCAACATCTTTGGCATCCCTCTCCTGCAAAACAATTTTCATGTCGATCATCCTTCTATTGAAGCATTTTATTATATTATATAGCAATGTGCTCCTCGATTTCGAAATACTGTCCAAGGGATGGCAAAGTAGCAGAAAGTGAAAAAAGATGACGGGAAAAATATCCTCGAATTGGCTTACCCGGTAACCACCATCAAACATGGCACCGAATGTATCCGAAGAAGCTAGAAGACAGATTCTGTGAGCATAGAATCTTTTACCTGAGAGAAGAATATGGAAATTGAAAGGCTGAAGAACTTTTCAACTTAAAATGAAAGAGAGATTAATAAAGAGCAAGCACAATCACTGATTAGAAAAAAGATCCGAGATTAATAAAGAGCAAGCAATCAGTAGTTATTATCCACTAATCCTTGCCTCATGACAATGATCCCCAAACTACCAAGAGAATTGCAGGCACTTTTCTGAGTAATGAAGAAGCAGATTCTGCATTCTACAAAAAAAAAAAGAAAAAAATACCATTTTCTGATTAGAATCTGCAGATTGAACTGATTAGGGTCTCACCCAATTTTCCAAGTGAAGGCAAGCTTCTGTCGGAGACCTTAGAGCAACCAGACACAGAAAGGATCTGCAGATTTATCTGATTAGAACGAGCCAGAGATGCAATTCCGGAATCAGTGATAGCACACCCGGAGACATCAAGGTCATTGAGCAATTGACAGTTGTCTGCAATCACACCCAAACTAGCATCGCTGATCTTACAACCATAAAGATTCAGCATTTCTAAAGTCCAACCATGCAAATCAGCCATGATACAGACAACTTTGTCACTCAAATTTTCAAAATGATGCAAAAACCCAGAAAGGAAATCGAAACAAAAGCCTAGGTTGAGGGTGAATGAGATTACCATTTGACAAAAGCACTTCCATCTTTGGCGCGGACAAGAGAGGCTGTAGGAGCGTCGGTTGAAGCAGCGTCGACTCTCTTCCTAGGCTTTGGTGGATTGGATTTAGATCCGCCTGTCATCTTCTTTGTTCTTCACTGTAACACTGAGAAAACAATGAAAAAGAGAAGATTCCTTCTTGGGAGAGGAAATCAATCGTTGGAGCGATGGGTTATTTGGAGAGAGGGAAACAATTAATAGCAGAAGAAAAAGAAAAATACGAGGGAAATGACAAGGTTTGATTATTTGGCGCCACCACCTTATATAGGTTGTTTGGAGAGAGGGAAACAATTAAGAGCAGAAGAAAAATAAAAATAGGAGAAAAATGACAATTCTAGTTTGGTTATTTGGTGCCACCGCCTTATATAATTTATATTAATAAAGTATTTATAATTAATATTAAAATAATTATATATTATAATTAATATAAAAATAATTATATATTATAATTAATATTAATTTAATTAATATTAATATTAATTTATATTAATATAATATAGTTTATAATTTGTAATTAATATTAATATAAAATATAGTCTATAAAATTAATATTAATATAAACTATATGTTATAAATTATATAGTATAATTTATAAACTATAGTTAATATAATTAATATTAATATAGTATAGTTTATAAACTATATACTATATTAATATAAATTATAGTTAAGATAATTAACATTAATATAAACTATATAGTACATTAATATAAACTATAGTTTATAAATTATATACTATAGGTTATAAAGTATAAACTATATAGTACACTAATATAAACTATTGTTTATAAACTATAAATTACATATATAATTTATATAACATATAAATAGATACATATACTATAGGTTATATATATATAGTTTATATATAGTATACATAGTTTATACTTACATGTATTATAAGTTACATATATAGTTTACATGTATACATATACTATAGGTTACATATATTAACTATTGTTTATGCATAATGTTTAGGTTTTAGGGTTTATTATTTATGATTTAGGGTTTATATTTTAATGTTTATGATTTATGATTTAGGGTTTATGCATATTATTTAGGGTTTAGGGTTTCTATAAACTATATATTTTATTACTTTATATAGTTTTATGCATAGTGTTTCTATAAACTATATAAGTAATTTACTTTATACATATAGTTTATATATACTATACATAGTTTATACATACATGTACTATAAGTTACATATATAGTTTACACGTATACATATACTATAGGTTACATATATTAACTATTGTTTATATACTATAGGTTAATGTTACATATATAATTTATATAAACTATTGTTTATATAAAGTTATAAACTATATATGAATTATCAACTGTCTATACATGTATAGTGTATAAAGTTTAGGGTTTAGGGTTTCTATAAACTATATACTTTATTACTTTATATAGTTTATGCATAGTGTTTCTATATATATATATATATATATATATATATATATATATATATATCTATAGATTACTTATATTAGTTAACATACATATATATACTATATTAATATAATTTATAAACTATATATTTTATATTATATATATATATATATATAATTAAATGTAATTAGAATGTATGCATGATTAAATTGCATCGAATTGAAAATTCAATAAGATATTTACAATTAAACCATGACTAAAATGAAAGAAATCAAAAATCAAATACAAGTGGAAAAATGATGATTGTTGGAGGAGCATGAGCCTAATTAACACAAAATATTTTGTTGGACACTATCATTGGCGGCAACTTCCCAAATTTTTCTATTCTCTCTAAATTTCCCAATTTTCCTCTAAATTCTCAATTTCCCTATATTCTCAAAATTTCTCAACTAAATTCCGAAATAAAATCAAAAAATTTCACACAAAAAAATATTTCTTTTAAAAAGTTTTCTCCCATCACTCATTTTGAATAATATATAGTTTATACATATATAGTTTATATATATAGTTCACATAAACATAATTTATATATAGCTTATAATAATTATATAGTTTATAATATAAATATAGTTTATATATAAATTTATATTATATGTATATATATATATATATATATATATATATATATATTTTTTTCAATTTTTTAAATGAATGCAATTTACTATATTTTTCATTATTTCTTCACATTTTACATTTATTTCGATTTAATCTTTTTGTGTTTTTTTAATTTATTTCAATTTTACGTATTTCACTTTTATATGTATTCAATTTAGTCCTTAAATTTATATTTGCATATTCCATTGTTAGTTGTTATTTATTTATATTTTTATAACTAACCCATAATTTTTTAAATGTGTTTAATTTAGTCCTTTTTATATTAATTTAAACCTCACATTTTAAATTTATTTCGATTTAGTCCCTTATCTATGTGTTGTTTAATTTATATTTTAAGATTTTATTTGTAATTTTACATTTCTTCAATTTTGTCATTAATTTTATTTTATTTTTACAAAATTGATCCATGAATATTTATTTTTCTCTTATTTTACTTGAAATCATATACAATTACAACTTCCAATTCAACAATCACAAAATATGACAAAATAATTAATCTAAAAAAATAAAAACGACCCGACCTGAACTCAATCCGTATCCGATAAACATCCGACCTAAATTTTATTTGTCAATGATGTGACCCGATCTGAACGAGATCCGACTGAAGTCAACCCGAACCTGAATTAACTTGGTCTTTATCTGCTTCGGACCTGAATTATTTTTACCTGAACTGGCATCGATCCGAACTGAAAATGACCCGACCTAAACCCGATCTGGATCTGGTGTCAAATCAACCTGAAAATAAACTGAACTGATTTGACCTGACCTGAACCCGATCTGAATCTGGTGTCAAATCAACCTGAATTGACTTGTACCCGATTTTACCCGACCTTCCAAGATCCGACTAAAACCTGGCCGATTACCTGATTTTACAACCCTAACCTGAGTTATAATAGTCGTTTGAGATTATAAGATCAGATTTTATTATATATCAGTTAGTATATTAACGTTCAACTCATATGATCGTTAATTTTTCAACGAAAAATGACATATTTAGAATATATGAATAGTCAAATGACATTTTGTAACTTTTAATAGTCGATAGACTCAATTAAACAACTCTCTATAATCAATGAATTATTTTATAACTTTTAATAATCGAAAAACTTAACAAAATAGTATCGTTGCTAAACAATCCAAGTATTTTACCCTTATTTTTATTACTTTTAACAACATAAAAGTTTACTCTTTATTTACTCAAATGCCCTTGGTGGTGGGTGAGAGAATAAGATATTCACTGTTTTGTCTCGAGTTTCGAGAATTTCCCTTTCATTTTCCCTTTTTCTAAATAAAGAAATTAAGAATATTTTAATTATTTATAAATTACTATATGGTAACCAAATATGTTAATTTTAATTTGGATTCATATAAAAATAAAAATAAGGGATTAAATTATATTTTTTATTTTAGATGTTTAATTTTTTTGTTAAACACGTTTTATTTTATAATCATTTTCAGATCGATCGCGTTAACAAAAAATGTTATCCTCCATTGATAAATTATTTAAAGTTTTGACTTGGATTAATTTTTGAGAGTTTGACTTTTTATTCTATTTTCAAATAGATGAATTTTCATAAATTTTGATCGACGAGTCTCTATTCTCGTTTTTCCTATCTATGAAAAAAATAATAGAGAATCGCCGATCGAAATTGATGCATTGAAAATAGATAAGTTCTTAAAATTAAAGTATTTGGAATTTAGGATTGTTTGATTTCTCAAAAATGATCCACATTTTAAAATTTTCCTTTGTTTATTGTATTTCTATAATTTATATACAATTTATAACGAAATAAAATATTAAATACTTATTTAACCAAAAAAATAAACCCTAAAATAAAAAATATTATAATTTGAATATATATTTTATAATAAAACCTTCGAATAACTAAAGTTAAACTATTTATTTGTGGAAATGGTGGATTAAGAGATTGGATTCTTTAAGTTTTTAGGTAATTTACTTTAACAATTTTTATCTAAGGAGGAGAAAGGGGATTCGCTACTAATGGGTATTAAACTCATAACCTAGAGGAGATGAGAGATGTCAACAGAGAGCTTTTAACCATCTCCTCTAGAAATTGTTAACAGATTAAAGGGTGATTTAAGTTGAAGAATTTTGATTAATTTAACACCTTTAAACCTGGACGAAAGACTAAAGTGTAAATTGAAAATTTTAAATGATAAAAATTAAATGTAGAATCTAAATTATATGAGTTAATTACATCT